TTTTTTTGTTATCTTATCACTCTACGTAATCACTCGTTAATAAGCGCATTGATTATCACCAATTTTTTGAAAAATTCATTTATTCATAAAATTCTTTATTGAAAATTTGAAAGAAGTTTAATTTTTTTCATAAATCCTCCACTATTTGAAACGATGAATTGCTAAAATTAATGAAAATAATACCATTCATGAAGGGAATTATCATTACATAATTACATTAGATTATATATTGACATGAGTATTGAATTAAATAGAAAATTATATTTATTTTCGACAAAATTTTAATACAAAATTTTAATTTTAACACAAAATTATTCCAAACTATCAAACTATAAATCAACTTATTGCGTAAATTTATTCAATCAAATTTTACTAATTTAATTATAATTTAATTATATTACATTAATTATATTATATAAAAATCTTAATTTCCATAAATAATAAACAAAAAGATAAGTGAATTGCAAAACCAACTTATTACTGATATTAATTTATTAATATTTTACAAAATTTTCGTTAAATCTTTTTAACCACAAATTTATTCAATTAAATTAATATTAATGAAAAAAAAAATTTGATTTTTTGTTTTTTTTTCGAAATTTTATTTTTATATATTTTAGATCTTTGTTTAACTATTTAATTATTAATGATTGTTATATGATTTTAATTGTTCTCGTTTTATTTTTTATTTTATTGTAAATCAGCCGCATTAGAATTTAATCTTTAAAAAACTTTATTTTAAAAAAAAATCTTAATTTTAATGAATTTATTAAAATTTTAATGATAATACGAATATTTTCGCATTTTTGCATGCATCACAAATAAGTGTTATTGAATTAGCAATTTGATCGACAATTGGTCAACATTTTTATCAAAATTATTTTCTAAACGATAATACGGTAATAAACGAGTGGCATCAATGTGTTTTATCCAAAATTTGATCTCTTCTACAGAGTTTTTGATTTTGATTATTTGATTATGTGATTAAAAGATTTCTGCTGACTAGTAGGCCGTTACTTGCTGAGAGAATTAATATGCCTGTGGCATAGATATTCAATTTTTTGCTTTGTTAGGACGTATTAAGTGAAGAGATGGTTTACATTCTTGATCATTAGTTTTTTTTCATAAAAGTACCAACACTGCCTGAATTATGTTTTATTATGTTCAAGGATAGAATTTGAAATTTTACCTCTCAATACGAGCACTATCTACTCTAATGGCTATTCGACTTCCTTAGAATTTCTTTTAATAACTCTCTCATCATTATTGGTTAGGCTCCGCTGGCTATAGGATGTTTCCAAGCTGAGCGATTTGATCTGACAATAACAGAGTTGGAATTACTATTTTTGTTCCAAATCAAACAGATTATTAACAGGAAATAAATTTGAATTTTATCAATAATTCCCTGCATGATTGTTTTATTTTTCAATAAAGCTTATTGAATTTAGAATTTTTTCAAAGTTAGCCATGAAAAATTGCAATTATTGACGATTATAAGGCCTACGATTTGAGACGCGAAGCCAAAATGCGACACTAGCAGCATTCGAATCAAATTTACAAACTCCTTTCAATGTTCAATATTTAGTTTTGCTATTCATCGCCAACCATTGGTTGAATTTAAATATAAAATTCAATTTTAAGGCTTTAAAGCTTAATTTTATAAAATAGTTTTCTTTCTCTAAAAATTATTTTATAATAATATTTATTTTATAATTTAACAAATATAAGACGTAATATTTTTAATTTTTAAATTTTATCCACAAAATGATAATTTTATTTAATTTTTTAAAATGAAAATTCCTTTCTTGATATATATATATTTAAATGATTAATGTAGAAAAATTAAAAAAAAAATAATTAAATTTTAAATATTAATGGTTTAATTCGTATTAATTAATAGTCGTAATAAAAAATAAATTTGCCAAATATCAATCAAACTGTACCAGTGCTGAGAAAAAAAATTCACCGAAAAATAAACATTGAACAACGTGAAGCAATACCTTCAAGCAAATGTTTGGTGCCTATGAAAAGAGACTTAAAGAGGAGAGATGAATATAGTGAAAATATAGATAGTATGAGATAATAGATAGTAATATAGTAATTCGAAAGACTATAAATTTAAATTTAAAAGAATAAAAATATTAATACCTAGAGGAATTCAACTAGATTTGAAGCGATATTGAGTCACACTAATAGGTTTATAATAAATAAAAGAGCCAAATTTGGCGAAGTATTCGAATGGTACTCATGCTTAATAGGCCGTATTTCCGGCGGATAATTATGAAATATCGCGAGATTAGCCAGAGAAATATTTATTAAAATGATTTTAAAGTGATTATGCGATAGTTTCTCTTAGAATCTTAGAATCTACAATAAGCATAAAAATTAAATTCCGCTTTTTTCTTCAAAAAATTTCGCTTAATTTTTAATTTAATTTTTATCGTTCATTACGATTCATTTCCTCGACATTGCCATATTCCATGAATTTTCATGTTGAAGCAACGTTAAAATAAACACACATTTAATTTGCATAAAAATTTATAAAAATTTTTTAAAATTAATATGGATTTAATGAAATTTATTTCTTACAATAATATTGATATTATATATATTCATATATAAATAATATTCAAAAATAATTTTTATTCGAAGATTATCTTCAAGTATTTCAGCTCCTAAAACATTTTAGATTTCTGAACTCTCCGAATAATTTTTTTTTATTTTAGATATTTCGGAGGGAAGACTGGAAAACTTACCCTTTTTAGTGGATTCTTTTCTGGAAATTTGTTTTTATTTCCAACATTTAAAAATGTGGATTAATAAAAATCCATTAAAACCCATTCAAATCACTGTTAATTTGGTTTTTTGGAAATTCTATTTTACACATTAAAACTTATATTTATGGGAAGAATTTATAGCTTTCGAAAGGAAACAATATTAGTAAATGAATCTAGTTAATTAATAAAAGCATCGCATTTAGCATATTACAATGCAATAAGTTATTTTCTGCACTTAGTTCCAAGTAACATAAGAAAATAATGTGTTTTGCAGTCTATGAGCAATAATTTATTAGATATTCACAAGCTTAATAATACAAACTAACTAATTAATAAAATGAAATAAGTGAACTGAATGAGCAATCAAATAATTCACTCGGTTTCCCATTCGCTACCAGAGTTGGGTTCATCTTCGTCTGACTCTAGAATAGTTAAACATTATACCACAAAAATGAGATCGGACTATTAACAATAAGTAATAACATCCATCCATAATAATGATGATAAAATAAAAGCAACGATGATAAAGCGAAAAATGAATGATCAAAACAAATCTTATGATCTTTTCATTCGTAACATTAATTATTGGAATAATTTGTTTTGCCGGTAAATTGCTGATAAATTATTGAAAAATTTACTTGATTTTTATATTAATTTGCATGTATTATCATAAGTCTATACTCAGTCCATTCATATTAATGCAATGGTATCAGTTAATTTTTTATTATACTGCTATTTTACTACTGTATTATGTTAAAGTCTTGCCTTGCAAATACACAACTGCTGCTTGCTTTTTGCAGGTAAATAATTATTAATAATATATGTAAAAAATATTTCGAAATGAAGATAAAATTTCTCTAAAAATAGAAGAAAATTAACCATCTGATTGCTGAATATTTTTTCGCCTTTCTTCAAGCGCACGTGCTAAAGCTCCAGCAATTCCATCAGGAGCACTTGTAATTAATTTTCGTTGATCTTGCACAGTTTGATCAACCTCAAATAAAAAATAAAAAAAGGAACCAAAGACTTGATTCGAAAGAAAAAGAACTTGATCAATACATATATTTTAACTTGATCAATTCATATATAAATTAAGAATATTAAAGTGCTTTCTAGTGAAATTTACTAAATCAACAGTAATAATTTTTTAATTGTGAAAAAATAATTACATGTCTTAAATTCGCGCCCTGTTTGATCTCAGCCATTACATTTTCATGTGGATTGGCAGAATCATCACGATGTCGCAAATTTTTGTCCACATGTTTCAAAGTAATACCAGCTTGGATCTCCTTGAAAGTAATTTGTCACTTTATATAACACAAAAATATATTAAATATTAAAGATAAGCAGAAGCATATGAATGATTAATCAAGATTTTTCAAAAGTAGTCACAGTATGAGAATTAAAGAGTAGAAAAATTAAAATGAAAGGGAAAAATAAATCACAAAGAATATAAAACTATAACCAATCAAGCCAATCAATAACTAAAAACATAAATTATAAATCAATAAATTAAAAATATTGAAACAAGAATAACTTAAAAAAAAAAGAATAAATTTACATTCAATAAATTTGCTCTGTCGCTCGTTACAGCTAGACTTGGCTGTTCATTTATTGCTGGAGGTGGTGGAGGTGGTGGTGGAGGAATATAACTTTGTTGCGTAATACATGAAGGAGGAGGGGGAGGGGGAGGGGGAGGTGGTGGACCTGATGGTGTCGCTGGAGGAATATATGAAGTTACTTCTATTTGCGAAGTTACGGGTGGTGGCGGTGGAGGTGGTGGTGGTATATCGTTAGGTCTATAAATCTGATTATTGGCAACAGATGATAACGATGGTAACTGCAAAAAAATTAGAATTAATAAAAATAAGAATAAGAATTAACAAAACATTTTCATCAAAATTCATTCGATCAAAAAAATGAGGAAAAAATGATATCTACCTGCGGAAGTGGACGGACAGGCGCACGGGTTACTGACTGAGGAGGCCGCTGAAACGGACGAGATGACGTAGTAGTAGTGTCCCGTCGTATTGGTGGAGGTGGAGGAGGTGGTGGTGGTGGTGCAGTATTCGTGGCAGAAACTGAAGGACTCGATGCAAGCGGATATCTGCAATAAACCAATGATCTATGAGAAAACAAAGCAATAATTGCGATAAAGATTAAAAATTTGTTTTTTATTTTCTTTTGTATAAAAATGTGAATTTGAAAAAAACGAAGAGCTAAATCTTAAATACAAAATACAAATACAAAATACAAATATACAAAATACAAATATAAATACAAAACCTCTGGGAAATAGGTGTCGCCTGTGGAATAAATGGTTGAGGCAACTTTTGATATCCAGTAATAAATTTTCGAGAAAAATCTATATCTTCCTTAGTCATCATATCTGGATTTTCCCCAGCCGCTCTAAGCAAATCTCTAACACTATCATCCATAGGATCACCGTCATAAGTTTTCTGCGAGAATCCACCATCCTGATCCCATCCGACATGTGCTTTGTGCCTAAACAATTACAACTTGAAATTCTCTTAAAATTTAAGTAATGCCGATTAGAGAAAAATAACGACAAAAAAATTTACTCTAACTAAAATTGTCTTTAGGATCATAAATGAAAAATTCAAAATTGAAAGGAATTGGAAACTAACTGGAAATTAGTTGGATTACTAATGTCTTCTTTTCGAATTTTTCTTTCTTTATTATTTTTTTTCTTTTTTTTACTGCTAGAAACTAAGTTCGCTAGCTGACCACCCACACTTGGTACAGCACCAATGCTCGTGATACCGACTTTATTGGTCGTTGACAAAGTTGGTGAAGTTATACTCGACATTACACCAGTTTTCATAGAAGTTCCATGAGAAGCACCACTATTCGCTGCTCGTTCAGCAGTAACACCTGAAGAGCTCCAGATTATAAGCTAAATTTCATCTTTAATATCTTTTATAATTTTATTTACAAATTTTACTGATATTGACTGATTTACTGATTTACTGACTGATATTAATGTAATTCTAGAAAAATTCTAGGTTGTCACCAATAATACGAGCTCCATAATCAAAATACAAAGTACTATGGAGTTGTTGATATTGGTAATTGATATAGCTTCTTGAAAATGAATGATTTTATCAAAAAAATCATTCACACTTGTAGAAGCAAATTATTCATCCCAACTTTTAATATTTTTCAAATATTACAATATATTCAAAGGAAAAAAAAAGGAAAGCGATAAGATGCAAAAAAATATCATTAGTGTTCTTACGCGATTTTTGCTCTTGCTCATATCGTTTATTGAGGTGATATTTAAAATTATCAGCTTCATCAAGATTTGAGAAATTTAGCCCAAAAACACAGTCATCTCCTTCGAATGTTAGCAAATTAGGACAATTAGTAGCTGTTGCACGAAAATTTTTGTACCTAGAAATAGAACGAAAAATGAATACTGATAAATGAATAACATCGCTAAAAAGTTCGTTAAGAATTTTTAGTAAGCCCATTTTGTGTCAGCAGTAAAATATAAAAACAATCCGTAAAACAGTGGAGTTAATATATATGATTTTTTCAAACAATATCACAATCAGGATATAAAATTTGCATCGACTTTTTTCAAGAAATTACCACTAGTGGTCAGACTCACTTCACTGGATGCCGGATCAGATTTTGCCATTCAATGACAGAGGAACAGATCGCCAAAAGTAATAGGATTTTCAAAAGATTTTCTTGCATGCCACGAAACAAAAGTCAAAATGAAATGAGACCCAATGAGCCATTCAATTAATCATAAATAAAACCACTGAAATCTACAAATTAATACAAATAAGCACTTACAACATCTGTTGCCAAAGAAACTGCTTCTTTGAGATATCATAAAGGCGCAAAAAATAAGCTCGTTTTTCAAAATCTTTGACCAATGATATAACACCAATATGTGCTTTCATCCATGCTCGCGGATTCCTAGAATCGGTTCTAAGAAGTTGCACAACACCAGCAGCTAAAGAAACCGAGTCGCGTCCAAGCAGCGAAAACAAAACTGCATTTTCAGTTGAACTCAAAAGATGAGCACCTTTATTTGGAGGGCGTTCTCTGCAATTGATAAAAAATAATTAAATTATTAATTAATTTCGTGACGAATTATTTTTTATAATTTTAATTGCTATAATGGTAATTTTTTTCAAAAAAAATTTCTATAAACCATTTTCAAAAAACAAAAACAAAAACCTTTTACGAGGACGACCTGCTGAATTGCTGCTTGTTCCATTCACTTTTGTCATAATCGGTTGGCATAAACTTGTAGCCATATCATTCACACTTAAATGACATTAAAATTTCCAACTATAAAATTCTTTAAATTAACTGAATTTTAATAATCCTCCGAATTAATCCTCTTTACGATAAATATTATAATGGCCAATAACAAAAATTCAAAGAAAATTAATACCTCGAAAATTAAAATATTTATAATCGCCATGAAGATCGCAATTTCAAAAATTCGTTTTTCGATTATTTCAACGATAAATAAATAAATCTACAAATCGATTATAAAAAAAATAAGTACTAAAATAATCGTTGAATTTAATATTTTTAAAATTTTAAATAAAATTTCCCCGAGATAAAAAACAATAATCTCAAATTATGTAAATTTAGATAAAAACAGAGGCTTCGATTAGGTTTATTTTATTTCTTCGCATAACATCGTTGAAAACATTGATTTGAGTTATATTAACTTAGCGCATGTGCTACTAGCGCATTATCATAAATATATAAGACGAATGATACAATGAATAAACCAAGTAAGCATAAAAGGCGAATGACACAATAAACCAAGCAAATATTAAAACGAGGTCAAAGAGGGTCAAATGCATTTAAGGTCAAATTTCAAACCAATATATTTTTAGTTATTTTCAATATTTATATTTTTTGATAAATATTAGAGATAATTAAAAATATACTTAAACACGACAATATTAATTCGCTATAAAAATAACGATGTGTGATGAATAATCAAATTTTAAATCGCAAATAAAAAAAATTTTTAAAATCGCTAATTTAAAAAGAAAACCAATTAGAAAATTCATATTAGAGAAATAATTATCTTTTAAATTTAGGAAAAAAACAATGAATATTTCCATTTTATAAAAAATCGATTCGAAAGAGAATGAATTTACTCAATTAAGATTTTCTAAATTTCCCACATATTTTTTTCCTCGATTGTACTAACCTTTCCTTCCGAAATTTTTACCTTATTCGCCGAAACCTACCTTTGATTTTTCCTATTCCTAAAGTTCCACACAGCAAACAATAATCCCTCCAAGCCTACCAATTCATCCTCACTCAAATTAATAAAAACCAAAAAAAACAAAAGCTACCTTTGAGAATGCGAGTAAATGATGTGCTAGTACGGCCACATTAAGCTAACATGCTACGCTCGATATAACGAAGCCGAACTTTGCCATCACCTCTCATATTCCAATAGAGCAAATTTGTTTAGGAATACAAAAATATGTTCTTTGAATGATTTGTTGTACGGTTAGATCGGATTGAATTAGGTCGAATTGAGTTATTTTAGATGATTGACTAGTCGATTTTAGGTCGACTAGAAGAATAAAAATCCGGCCATATTGAATGAATGAATCGGAAAAATATATTTAAAAAAAAAAAAAACGAAGAATGATAACAAAATATTTGCATTTCTTTGTGCATTTATATAGAAAAAAAAAAGCCATCTATTATTATTTTTTTACAATTTATACGAAAATATATTTTTTCGACAAGTAAAAAAATAAATAGAAAAAATAAACAATGTAAACTATAAAATACAAAAAAAAAATTAAACAAAATAAATAAATAATACACTTAATAATCGATGAGGAATTGAATATTATGTGCCAAATTCAACATAAATGATTCATATCGCACAAATTCGACGGCGAAAAAAACGTGAGATTCGAAATAATTCGAAATACGTGAAATACGTCTACGTGAAAATGAATGAAGTATTTAGAGGAAAATACGTGAATGTAGACGTGAATATACGAATTATCCTAATTTGTTAATATTTTTAGTAAAATATTTTTCAAAGTGTTCGTCAAGTGTCGAATTCAACACTCTTAACATACACTCTTGCCTAATGGCTATGAAATTTCATCTCAATCGATCGCCAGTAAAAATATTTCTTTAAGCCTGGCAAAATTTCCATGGAACCACCATGAAATCAACAATAATAAGCATCTATTCGGTAATGGTACGGGCAAAATCCTAAATTCTAATAGTTACCAAAAATTGCCGCTAAACGAATGAATGATATTAGAAAGTTTCGTTTTTTCCGTAACTATCCCTCCTCCTCTCCACCCCCCCTCCCCACCTCCTTATTATTTTCATTTAAGATCCTAGCATGATTCTTTTATAACTCCGATAGCCATTCCTCCAGCAATTCCTGGTGCTTTTTTTCTACATCCTTCCAAAAATATCCCATGGCTTCCATTGAGAACCGCTGAATTCATATTTCGCTACCATTTAATAATTTAACCCATTCCTCCATCATTCCTTTATTATCATACCGTCTTATAGTATGTAAGGAAAAGTGTAGGAGTAAACCTACTATTAAATTTGATCTTCCAGAGGTACACTCGCTTGACGAGACTTTTTACTTTTCTCAAGTGACTCTCTGGAGAAAAATAAAGTAAGCAGAGGGGTCAGCCAAACCAGAAATAGCAAGTGCTTAGGAAAAGATTTGAAAAATTTATATTAATACACCACCACGTCTATATTCCAGATGCTCAGCAAAGTACCACGACCATTTTAAATCGAACCATTTCAACGAATAACCATCCAAGTCTGTTCGGTTTGGCATGAGCAGATTAGGGAGGCGGAGCTTACAACTTTATTACTGATGTGCATTGAAATTTATGCCTCTCACAAATTACTAAAACTTTTTATTCACCCTGTGACAAATGGTGGAAATTGATAATAAGGGTGGTGCTTATAGAGATCGAGAGGGTTTGTGGCGTTTGCACCTTTGATTCTTTGGTTATGGGGAGCTGGTACCATCGGCTGTTTAATAAAGTCACCGACTAGAGGGAATATCTCATCGCTCTTCCCATGAAGGATATATTGAACTTACTCCAACAGTGAAAATTATATGCGGTACCATTGTTTCGCTAGAAAAAATTGTTGGAATTGAGGGAATCCATAGGATAGGAATATTCGATATGAAAATTTTAATATTTTTAATTTCACTTTCATTTTTTGATTTTTTAAATTTATTTAATTTAATTTATTGTTTAAAAAAAATTAAAAAGAAAATTAATATTTAAAACATTAATAATTCACTTAGGATTATTTAAAATGCTGTTTTTTCCTTTTTTGTTATTTTTATTATTTTATTATTTTAATTTTTTATTTTAAATTTTAATAATTGGTATAAATTAAAAATAAATTATAATTGGTTTTGATTTTTGCAGTTTTTGATTGTTTATTGCAATAGTGGAAATGTCGAAGAAATTTGATCGACAATTAGGTAAATTTTTTTTATTTTTTTCTTTAATTTTATTCATAAACTAATAATAATCAATAGTTATTGATTTTGCTTTAATCAGTTATTTTATATCACAATAAATACGCATGATGAGTTAATTTCTTATTTATCGTCTAGTTTGGCTGATGGTATTCACTGTTAGCTCTTTCTTCAAAGCGTCTCGGGAAGTTTCTAGAAACCATTTGAATTTCACTTTTAATGGTAGATTTATTGCTATAAAAATTAATGATATTAAAAATTAATGAAAATAATATTAATATTAAGAGATCATAGAGATATTGGAGAAAATTTTGTTTTTTCGGAAATTTTGCCAGATTCAGATTGTTAGATTCTTCCTTTTTTTTTTTTAGTTATTTTAGTTGATATATATGTTGCTTGATTAGATGTTAATTAATGTTGTTAGATGTTGATTAGATGTTAGATATTATTAACTATTCGCCATTAAATATTTTTAGATAAAGCGACGGATTCAACATTAATTGATCCAAACTGGGAGGCTATTTTAGAATGTGTTAATTTAATTCGAAGCGGTGAAGCGCCGTACGTTTTTTTATGCAACCCTTTATTGTTCTATTTATTTTTCATTTTTAAAATATTTTGTGAAAAATTTTATTTTAATTGTGATTATGTCATTTGTTTCATTTTTTTATTTTAAAGCTAATTAATTCTTGTATTTTGTTGTAGACTGAAAAATGCCGTGGCTTCAATTCGAAAACGATATCATAACGAGAATCCTCATGTCGCACATCACGCTCTTTTGGTTCTCGAAGCTTGTATGAAAAACTGTGGTTCAAAAGTACTAAATATTTATATACAGTCTCGTCTCATGTTACTTTATTGTGTTATCATATCACTCATTTTAGTTTCACGCTGAAGTGGCTACGAAGGATTTCATGGAAGATTTGAAAAATTTATCATTGGACAGTACTCCTGATAAGGTAGATTAATATTAGAACAGTTTGTTTTCATGTTTGTTTTTTTTTTAAATATAACTTTTATAGGTGAAAAACAAGATCTTAGAATTGTTGCAATGCTGGGCCGTTGTGTTTAAAAATAAGCCTGAATATAAAATTGTGGTAGATACGCATAATTTGATGAAACTTGCTGGATTTGATTTTCCCAAAATTTCTGAAGCAGATGCTATGTTTGTCGCTGAAAGTGCACCTGAATGGGTGAATGGTGATGAATGCTTTAGGTCGGGTTTTGATAATTTTCAAAATTGATTTGGAAGATAGATTTATTTTCTTTTTTTCATTTTATTTGACCTTTTAGTGTTGAAAATACTTTCAATTTCCAATTTTCGCATCAATAAATCTTCCATTAAAAGAAAATGTAACTTTTCTTCAAGTAGACCATTAAATTGGAAGTATTAAAATATTTTAAGTAAAATATATAAAGTCATGAATTTTTTTTATATGAATTTATTTAAGGTGTCGTACGGCATTTGGTCTAATTACTCGAAAGCATCATTGCCGAGCCTGTGGACAAATTTTCTGTGATAAATGTAGTAGCAAGCAAAGCTACCTACCTCAGTTTGGAATTGAGAAAGAGGTCATTCTGTCAATTTTTTGGCGATCTTACAAGTTATTTTTGTTTTTAATTAGTATGGAAATAGTATACAGCTTTTTAACCTTTTTTGCACTAAAAATGTTTAGGATATCTTGAGTTTAATCATATAATATCAAAATTTTTTGAATGTTCCTTTTTGCAAAAAAAAATTTATCTATTTAAGGTGAGGGTTTGTGATGGTTGCTTTGATAAAACACCTTCGGGAAAGAAGAAATTACCTATTGATGCTTCAAGTTCAGTCGTTATTTCCGGCCAGCCAGCACCATCTAAAAACAATTCTGTTTCTGATCCTAAAAAATTGGCTGAGATTCGTGAGCGTGAACTTGAACAGGCAGAAGAAGATGAAATTAATTTAGCTATTGCTCTCAGTCAATCGGAAGCAGAAGCCAAAGTTCGTTTTTTAATATTTATCGTACGAAAGAGGATCTTTGATCTTCATTTTATATTTTTTCCATAGCATCGTGCTTTTACAGTATGTCTGAAGTTTAAATTAGTTTGAATCATCCATGAGTGATTAGAAAATATAAGCATTTATTTGAGTACAATATCATGTTTTTATGATATTATGCTACAATATTCGCTTTTTAATGAAAACGAAGACGAAAAAAAAATTCGCATTTAAAAAATCAAAATCCATATATTTTCATAGTTTTTCTGTTATAAATCTATAAGTGATAATAAACTGGTATCAAGATCAATAATATCGTATTATTTAAAAATTTTTAGTCAAGTTTTTAAGGCTTCTAGAGCTCTAGTTCGAACTTTTTAAATTTATTACTGTTAATCGATATTGTAGAACTGATTTCTATAATTAAAGAGTAAAGAACAGTTATTTATGATTATTTACTATAAATTTATTTTAACTTTTAATTTATTTTTAACTTTTTAACTTTTTATTTTAACTTTTATTTTAATTTTAATTTATTTACTATAAATTTATTTATTTTAACAGATTATTTACTATAAATTTTTTCCATCATTATTAGATGAAAGAGGCTAAATCATTTTTAGTCTACTCTGTCATCAGTTTAGAATTATGCTTTTGTACTGTTTAATTTTTACAGGAACAAGAGCGACAAAGAAGGCTTTATCAGATGTTCAATGGCTCAGTAAATAATAAGACCGTTAAAGAAGATGACGCTAATAGCATTGAAGCAATTTATAAGGGTGCTGCTTCCAGCAAAGGTTGGTTTCAGATACCAACATAAATTGGCATTCATTTCATCGAAATAAATTTTTTTTGAATATTGTTGTTATTTACTTTTACTTTATTTACTTTAAATTTATTTACTTATTTACTTTAAAGAATATTTATAAAACAATTTATTTATTTTTTTCACAAAAAAACTTTTAATAACAACAATGAAAACAATAAATAATAACATAATAATAATAATATAATAATAATAAAAGCAAAAATTACAAAAATTTTTTTTCTTATTTGTGATCAGGAGTAAACCGATCCAAAAATCCGATTGGTGTTGGTTACTTATTTCTATCTACTTCTATCGCCAGGGAAATCTCTGGCATATTTATGTGGCTCAATAAACCAATGCAGTAACCAGTAATGGTGCTCTTAAAAAAGATGGCGCCGATGTGTAAACAAAATTTTAAGGTAACAATGTACTTGCTGAATCAGCCGATAATAATCTTGTTTCTCCTGAACTTGCCCGTTATTTAAATAAAGAATATTGGCAACAAAGAAGAAATGAAATGCGAAATGCACAGCAAGTAATTATTTTATTGATTACTTTTTTCTTTTTTTCCTTCAAGAGATTTCACATTTTAATTTTCTTGTAAGAATGGTGTGGATTACCAAAAAATGATGCCTACTGCTCCTCCTCCTAGCGATTCATCACATTCGCGTAAAACGAGTACGAAAGAGGATGCTTTGGCTTCTTCATTTCATGATTTTTCTGTAACATCGACTACGAAGCAGTTAGATGGTTTACTAACGCCTACACCTCAGTTTGGTAATCCTGATGATGAAGAAGCTGCAGAAACTATGGAATTTTGTCGTCAGCTTAAAGAACAGGCATTTTTAAAAATTTTTTTAAAAACAATTTTTAAAAATTGTTTTTCTCATATTATCTTTTCAATAACAATATGGAATTTTATTTTATTATAATATTTTTTTTTGAATGGATTTAAGTTCATGAGTAGCTTTTATTATATTGGCAAACAATCACAGACAGGTTAGTCATAGAATCTATTTACACCGTTTAATGCATTCGTTTTATGTTACCATAATGGATAATCGAATACGATCAAACACTGCTCGAAATCGTTCCATTGTAAATGATACGGCGATACAGTCATTATTCATTCGTTTAACAGAAATGCATGCGCAAGTGATGGCTCGAATGAACAAGCTTGAAGATCAAAGAAGTTATTTTTATCGATATTTCATCGATGCCATTTTTATATTATATTAATTATTAATTTTTAAAATCAATTTAGCATATTTTGAGTCGCTGCAAGATCATTTGGCACATATACAAGAAGCCCGCCAAGCGGTGAACGCTCTCAGGGAAGAACATGAACGACAAAAACAGGAGCGCGCATTAGAAGAACAACGAAATAGACAGCGTCAAATGCAACAAAAAGTGGACTTAATGAGACAAAAGAAGCATGTTAGTAGTAATATAATATAATGTTAGTAGTAATAATTGAATATGAATGTGAAGCTGCTCGTGAACTTGTTAGAAGTCCCAATGTTAATGAATTAATATTTTTTTCAGTTTTATAATATCTTTTTCAGTTTTTTTTTGGTGTTTAATTTTTTTCTTTTTTTTTGTGCTTTATTTTCAGATAATTCACATGTTTTCATTTATGGTTTAGGTGAATATAAATCAGTGAAATATTTTAGGAAATGCTATTCCATCAGCGTCATTTAGCGCTACTTCGCTTCCAACAGCAAGAGCAAGAAATAAAAATGAAACGAATGCAAATCCAACAAAATGCTCAACCAGTTAGACCGAATGGCATCTCTTCATTCGTACAAAATGATACTGAACCACAACCTTTTAATTCTACTGGTTATTACCAAACAACCCAACCATTTTATGTCGATTCTGCAAATAATGGTCCTTATGTTGCTTTTTTCTAAATTCCGTTCTCAAAATATAATTTTCCTGAAAAAAGTGTAGTTTTTTTCAAAAAATAAAATAAGGAAATTTATTTTTTTATTTAGTGCTCGTTTATTTGGGTTAAATTTATTGATTCGCAATATGGGAAATTAAATCAAGAAATTTTTAATATGTTTTAATATATTTTTGATATATGATTAATATTAAATATTAAAGGCTTTTATTGCATGTTTAGTACTATAGAGTTGTAGCTATATTCTTTAAGTGAAAAATTTCTTTCAAAAAAAATTAGGATAAATTAGGATAAATTTAAATTTAATTTAAATAGCAAGCATTTTGTTCCTAACCATTTTAATATCTAGGATATAATAAAAGGATAGAAAGCCACAAACATGAGAATTACTATTTTTTGTAATAATTGTAATAACTTCAAAGAAAATTTTATAGTATATTCTATTCCTGGAAGCTATATGGGTAATAAGGCAGGTGAGCAAGTTCCTTTGGAACGTGCTCAAATGCAGTTATTCTCAGCTGGTCCGCAATATAATATGGCTTGGCAGGAGCATCAAATGACTTCGTCGCAAGGACACTTCCCACTAGTTTGTTCTTTCTCTTGGTTTGATTTGATTTTTTGTTTTTTTATTTTTTTTTACTTTTGAACTTATAATTTTTTCATTAAGGTGTTTATATTTTTTTAGTCATATGGTGTCATACAGCAAACGGACGCACAACACTCCACCAACATTCAGAATTACATGCCCGCACAAAGTCTTCATCCTTATCCATCCCAATTTATGGTGTTTTCTCAACCGATGCATACTGACCAACAAGCTATTTACTCCGGAAATTCCATGCCAGAAATACCCAAATTAGATAGTTGTGTATCGCAAACTACTATAAATGTATCAACGTTGCCTATCTCCGCATATCCCGATGTACAAACGCGAAATATTATTCAGAATCATTCCACACAATTTGACCAAACCCATACGCAGTTGCTCAATTCAGTGGTATTGTACTTTAATTATTTATATTTTTCTTTTTATCAGAGATGAAATGTTTCTTTTTTAGCCAATAAATTATCAAAACGTATCCGCAAGTCCATTTTACGCATCCGGTATTGCTGGGCCGTCCGCTCAATTACCATCAATGCCCCAACAAGTTGAAAGTATGTTTCCAAAAATATAAATAATATCAGATATAAATAATTATATATAAATAAATATAATGCGTAAAATTGGAATCTTCCAGATCAGTCTTACGATACCATTAATGCAATGAAACCTCAACCTGAACAAACAGCACCACAACCGACGGAAGGTCTACTTATTTCATTTGATTAACTTTTTTTCAGTTCACTGATGATTTTTATTGTGAATATTAACCAATAGACTTATTTTTATCCTTAAATTATTATATTGTGCTTCTGCTTATTTTCTATGTGCTGTGTACTAATATGAATATAATTAAGATTAATAGCCCATGTTTCATACGCAAAAAACCGGTCATAACCAAAAATCATATGAGAATCACAGCCTCAAATCAATTTTAATTTATAATGAAAATTGTTGAAATTTAAGCTGTGACGATTTTCCAGAAAAATTGTTGAAACTTAAGCTATGACGATTTTTCAGAATTATCTGATAAGTAATAGGCGTAGGTAAAAAAAGCAATTCGATTAAGCGGAATTACAAGGCCTTTATTTTCAATTATACAATGCTTTCGAGCACGAATTAACATTGACTTAATACAATCGAAGATCTAAGGGCCGCATATGGTATGATTTTGTAATAATGAATATTTCCTGTGCAAAATGAAATAATTGATGATGATCCTTATCATCTGATGAAAAATATCGGCCCAATAAACAGCTCAATTCACTTAGCCATTAACAATGTTAATTGGTTCTCAAATTATCATAACTAATAAAAATACTACTTATACCTATTATACACGTTTTAAGTCAACTTATTGAACAAGAATCTGGTGAATCATCATTTCGATCTCCAGCGGATAATGTTAATAACGAATCGTTTGCCAAAAATGGAATTGTTTTCCGACAAGTAACACTCACACCACTTAAAAGTACCTCAATAACTGCCTGAAAAAAAAAAGTAACCATTCTTGAACATCAAATTTTTTCCGAGATCACTTTTACATTTTATCACATTGCTTTAAAAAAAAAAATCATACTCGAGTAAGATAATTCGCAGTAGAATTAGTAGTCAAATCCGAAACATCAAGCTCATAGAAAGGAGTCATATCATTTCGATCAATTATTCCACTTTCATCACAATATCGATGAAAAGCCGATAGTATAAGCTAAAAAAAAGTGTGGAATTGAAATTTCTTTTGAAATTTTGTTTTTTTTTTCATTTCATTTCATTTTTTCATTTCAAAATCATTTGGTTTATATTATTATATTATATTAAAATATGTTTACTTTGTCCATATCGAATTTGCCTTTAAATGTAAATTCACAGTTTCTTTCAAGAATCAAAGCGATTATACATAGCAACTGAAAATGAACAGAATTAATCTCTTTTTACTTATAATCGCTCATCCGAAACCAAAAAAAAACCTGTATATTAGCCAAATAAATAGGCTAAAAAAAAAGAATGTGAATTTGATTCAATTTGGTTCATTTGATTGAATCATATAAAAATAAATCCCAACCATAAACTTTTAACTCTTAAAGATTAAATGAACATTACTTCAACCAACACCTGACGGTATTCTGGATGGGTAATAACGCTCATCATTGATTCAATTTTATATGCAAACGTCAGTTCATACCGCGTCATATCACTTAATGTCGGTTGCTGAAATATGCAAAATATTAAAGAGTCAACTGAATATCAAAAATGCATTCTAAAAATTTTTTAAATTCTTTATTTTCTCTCCAAATAATAAAAATTCTGCAAGTTATAACTTGACGAACAAGACCTGAGGGAGATATTGACCAGCAATAACAATTCCTCCTTCAGTGCGCTCGAGAATTTTCCAAACACTGTCATAAAGTGTTATGGGTACACGATTAAGTGAGCCGTTTAAACGGCGAGATTGTAATGGAGTCCTAAGATGAAACCATGAATTTGTAGAAATATTACCACATATTTACTCGACAATATTGTTTATAAAGTAAAATTTAGGAAGACGTTATTTTACTTTTTCTTTAATTTAATTCTAAATTTTCCCACCAAAAATGACGCAAGAAAGAACAATTAGATAAATAACTAACAACAGATGCCAATTTTTTCTTGTAAGCAGTGCGGCTACTGATTCCTTAACAGCCGTTGGAGATAAATCATATACTGAAGATCCCGAAGTGAAGCCTGAAAATCCATGAGTAAAGGCAAGCTTGAAGAGCCAAGAGCTAGTCTTTTTTATGTTTATTTAAAAAATAATGGAAAAATAATGAAAATGAAAAAAAATATCAATAGACTATGTGGAAAATCTACTTAAATCTATTTGACTAGTGTTACGATACAACATTATGGATGAATGGAAAAAAAAAGAAGAATGAATTACATGATAATGCTTTTGTTGGAGATGATGGGTGATGTCGTTTGACTGAACGAGAAGATCGATTAGAAAAATTCGTGCTTTGGATATAATTAAGCATTAAAGAAATAGCATCAGAAAGCCAGGAAAGTCGGATCGTCAAAATACCATCAAATGCACTCGGTTGATTACAAATCTGAAAATTAAAAAATCTTTGCCGAAAAAGTGATAAAACATGGAAAAAAACAAAAAGATATCCGCTAACTAACTAAATCAGAACAAGCGATTATAAGTTCTTGTTGCAATACAGCTGCTTGCGGATCGCTATCTGGGCATGAATTGAAAAGAATATTAGTTATTTCGTCAGGAGTTGCCGGCGATGATATAGTTGTTTCATGATAACCTCGAAAACCGAGTGTTATCTGTAAAATGAATTAGTGAAGTGAATTTAATTTCTATTTAACAAGCCTCTAGAAAAAAATTCTACATTATTTGCTTACGAAAAATTAGTTAACAAATAAATAAACCTGTTTGCCACGAACTAGCATATTTGTTATTCCAGGAGCAAGTGAATTTGTAGTTTTTCGTAATTTAGCAGCACAGTAGCGGACAACCCACCATAAACGCCAAGCACAAGCTTGACGATAAACGCGTTCTAAGTGAACTTCAATATTTTCTGAAAAAAAACATTAAATAATGAACGTTTAAATCGAGATTAAAACAATAAAATAAGAAATTAAAAAATATTTATTTAGACAAATCTTAAAATATTTTAAAATTTTAAATTTTAAAATATTTAAAAAATCATTGACTACCTCCTTCAATAATGAATTCTTTGCCATGTCGATTTTGAAGTATTCCCAAAGCAAATGCAACAACTCTGAGATTATTTATATCGTGAATTCTTGCAATCGCATGAAGCTCATGATCTGATTTGCTTTTAAAATCACTCTAAAAGCTCCAGTTAACTGAATTAATATACTATTAATTAATATACTATTTTTTGCATATTAATAAATTACATTCATTATATCAGAAAATAATTTCATTATTTTTTGTCGATATTTATTATTTATTTTATAACTTTATATAATTTTAATTATATTAAAATTTAAGAAATTAATTTTAAAATGATACTTCGATACTTTTCGTATCCTCCTCAAGAACAATGTAACGCGTGGAAGTTTTTGGAATTATAGGGGAAATATCACCAACAAATTCGTCGAAATTATTGATGTAATCAATATCATCAGAATTGTTCACCAAAAAATCAACATGTTCGGTGCAACCGGATATTAGCAATTGCTTAAATTTATTTTGGAAATTTGTCGAAGAATGAATATAGTTCATACAATATTTAAATTTTTTGATCCCACTTGATATTTGGAAAAATAAATTCAGAAAATTCTTTCAAACAAGCAACTGATAAAAATCATTACCATTACTTCTTGGAATATAAAACTATTCCACAAAATGAAAAAAAGAAAGATAAAAATGAAAATGAATTAAGGATTAAGAATAAATATGGATATAAAAAATAAAAAATTAAAAACTAACATGAACCCTCCCAACTCTAACACGAATTCCATTCACAAAACCATTCTTCATTGCAACAAGTAAATCAAGCATAGGACGAAAATATTCACCACTGACATTTTCTTCACGAAGAATCATACAATATGTTGGACGCCCAGCTAGTTTCCATCGTTTTGAAATGAACTCCATATCAAACTTCAAATAGATAAACTATTGTTGAAAAAAAAGAATAATAAAAGTTGTTAACTATATTAAACTACGAACCAAAAACATGGTTAATTGATTTTGATCTACTAAAACTGAGCTAAAAACTGATTGCAAAAAAAAAAAAAATTTAACTGAAACAAACCTTTATTTCATTTATAAGAACTGCAGGATCTGCTGTCATGTAGAAATCTCTAAGTTCGAAAAGGAGTGGATAACATAAAATCGTATCGCCAAATCGTTTAAATATTTTACTAGTATTTAAAGGACCAAACGGTCTCGGTGGACGACCACCAAGACCTAATTTTTCATTTCTGCCAAGTGATTCGAAAACCTTAATAATAATAATAAAGCACTTTAAAAAATCACATCACATCACAATATCATGATAAACATTCAAGTAAACTCAATTTAATTGCAAGTAAATAAGAATTATAAATATTTCGAAATAGTATGAAATACCTTGACCATTTTCCAACTTGGCCAGATCTGTACGGGTTCAAGTTCATGTGGCGTTTGAGTATTAATTCCATACGTTGATAACATCATTTGAAGGCGACTTGACTCAGCAATAAGAGCAACCTGTACGACGGGATATCCTTCCATGCTCCCCTAAATATTTTATAATTTATAACAGAAAAATAATCCATTAAATAAACCATCATCTTCAAACATATTGTACATATTAAACAATCATTTAATAAACCATTTTCAAACTGTTTTACATATTATATTTACCTCTGAAGAGAAGAAAGAATAAAAAGCATGCGGCTTTGAATTCCAATAAAAAATTTTTTTTCGAAAAATCCTTACGTCTCCTTCAATAAAGCTCCCAAAAATAATTACGATCAGAATCGACATTTATAATAAACAGATTTAAGCTCGTTAAAAAGTTTCCACCACAGCATTCCATAAGATCCCCCTCATATAAAATTCAATTTTTCTATGGAAAATTTATTCAAAAAATTTCGAAATTAATATAACGTAACTTCACGTATCTTTAACGTAACGCAACTTTTATGCTGCAAAACAAGGAATTTATAGTATTTTTAATGCAGAAAATATGTAATGAATATAAATCAAACATTTCTTGATAGAGGCGTATCCCACCCGAATCCTTGCCCAAAAAACTTACAAATCATAGAAAAAATGATGGCTGATTGGAGGATACAATGAAAATTATGTTAGTTAAAACAAACTCTGTGAAGGATGAAGCATTAGAAGCAATTAAAGCATTAATGAAAATAACAGCCTTGCAAAATTTTATCTCACCTTATAAGGCAATATGAATTTTACTTACATTATGCTCATCAAGGCGTTCATAGTCACTCTAAATTACTTATCTCCAGCCGTTTTCATTATGAAAGAGCAATTATTTCAAATTACTTTCAACAAAATAGCATCCCATTCTATTCAAAATAGAATAAATATATTTAAAAGAATATTCAATTATTTGAATTGCAATCATTAAAGGTATATATTTAATACATGAAAAATAAATTAAAGGATCGATTAATTATTTGTTCAATTTTTCCATTTTCTAAGAGCATTCATCATTTCTAGCGCCACTGAATCATAAAATAAGGCTCTCGCTAGAGGGTTACTTTAAAGCAGAAGTAGAGATAGACTGCAGCACCAGCACTGTCTGATTTAGCTTTTAGTGAAAGATCTGCTTCTGGATCTACTTGCACAAGGCGCACTTGGCTATTCTGCATCCAAATGATTAATTTAATAATTTAAAAAAAAAAATCATAAACCTGAAACGCTGAATGACGATTCGAATTTTTTGGACGTTGACTAGCAGGAAGATGTCGATATATTGGGTCAATATCGCTCGCATGGATCAATTTATCTTCTTAAATTATTCTTTTAACCTTAAATGTTTTATCGAATATTAAAATAAATTTATCAAGCCATATATAAATTAAACAAACTTACTAATAAGAACAGCAATAATATATATAGCATTAGACCATAAATGATGGCCAGTCAAATCGGCATTCACAGGGAAAAATTCTTGCGAGTTTGGATTTGCTCTTTCAGCATTTATGCAATCTTCTTCCAACACATAACATTCAGGTACAATTAGATATGAACCTAAAATACAATTCCCAGTAATCTTTTTATCAAGAAATCATCTCTAAGAACTGAGATAAGAACTGATATTACAAAAAAAATATTAAGGACAAGTAAGAATTTCAATTGAAAAAATAAATTAATTCAAGGAAAATTTATTTGAAAAGGAATACAATTAAAACCTTCTTCGTCGGAAACAAGAAGCTTTTCCAGTTTTGCAAAATATTCTTTCGATGTTTCTTCATCCCCGCGAAGAAGAGCTAAAAATTTTGTTTAATAATTTGAATCACAACAGTTAAAAATTTTATTGACTGGTGTAAATTTTTAGATATTCATGTGAAATTGGAATTGTGCAGAAGAAAAAGACTCAAGACTACTAACCAGTAATACACAAAAAAGCAAAAAAAAATGGGAATTGACATTCGATATCTTGGAAATTGCGAGTCTCATGCATATCGTAATAAGTCCGAGAAGCATCTTCCAATTCAGTACGATAACCATCACGTAAAAATCTTAATTTAAAATAGTAGTTTATCAATAATAAAATGTTTAACACAAATATTCAGATTTAAGGAAATTTATTTTTACAAAAATATTACCTTTTTAAACCAAATTTACCCTCTAAAAATTTAATGCATTGGTTGATTGCTTTATCATAAAGTTTTAAATCATGAGTAGCAAAAGCTGGCCATCCAATAGTCATAAGCAGTGCAGCATCGGTATTCTGTAATTCTGGCGCTATTTAATCGACTTTTTTACAAGATATTTTTATAAGATATAAGATATTTTTTTCAAGACAACATTTTTTACTATGAAAATATTAATAAGGACCTTTGAATTACTTTCTCGTGGAAGCATTGTTTCAAATGTAGTTCTATTCCTATTGTGTCCATCAATATCCACATAGATTACAGAAGAACTTGTGCCCAAAGCACCAAACAAATTGAAACCGTTTATTGCCTCAAGCGCAGCCTAGAAACAGATAAATAAATAAATGATGGGATCGCAACAAATGGTAAATAAGCTAATCAAATCTCACATTTTCATTATAAAAAAACTAACCTTAACCAAACCAAGGCTACTTGCATGAAGCTCAATTTTACCATTATTGTAGCGAGTCCCTCTTTCCCACATTCCGAAATCAGGAGTACGATATGTTCTTTCGATATAAAAAACAAGATTCTGTACAAAACATACTTCATCATGAGTATAAATAACCTGAAAAGTGAAACCGATTCTTATTTTTTTGAAATATACCTAAATACATTTATCTAAACCAAATCTTCTTGTGTTTGCATTAGTAATATTTATTCTTAAAATAATAAAAAAACTTCATTTTCCATGCTTCCTATTAAGAAAAAAATTCTCTTCGGCCGTTCGTCAAAAAAGAACTTGGCAATGTCAAAAACATTCTTTAAATTATTATGGTCGCAAACTCTATATTTGTAGTATACAACGATAAGCAAAATTTTAGCGATGGAATCAGATAGACTTTAGATAATTTTCAGGTGCCTGAATGATAATATAAAGACATTTTTAAAAACCTGAACGCCTCCTGCAATTAGTTCCACCAATGTTAGCAAATAAAGTGCAATTAAATCCATTTGAAGATGACCAAACATCTAAACAAATCCAAATTGAACTTATTCTATCTCTCTCCATTATTATAAAATAAAATAATATAAAATAATTTCATAAATGAATAAAATATAGAATTCGCACCTTTTCCTCAGGAGAAGGTAGAATCATTCCAGTATGCAAATCAAAACGTGCGTGTAGCGCATATTCACTAGAATTCTTTTCTTTGAAGTTGTTTAACTAAAACATTAGGTATCGCGTAATACGAATCGTTTAAAGACAAAATAAAGAAAAATAAAAATAAATAAAGATTTAACTCATAAAAATGGCAAAATTCAAAGTTTATTGAAGAAAATGGATCTCCATTAAATTTTTTATCTAAAATGAACATTAATTTTGCGAATCTTAGTAAATCAATTAATTATGCCGAATAGTTTAAGCTGTTATGGCTACTTTTCTGTTAAAATTTTCCAAAATCTTATTCTTCTTGCTTAGAACGAAATATTTTCTTGAAAATAGATAAAGAATAAAGGAATAAAAGAATAATAAATGCAATTCAACTTATTTGTGAAAATAAGAAAATATTTCAAAGTATTTCAAAAAATATCAATCCAATAATAATGTTGAATTCCACTGAAAATACATATACACTCTAAATAAAATATTCCGAAATATCTCAGTCTAATCTAACTTCAAATTTTTCGTCATATGATGCCAACTTTAATTTATGAAAATCTTACATCGTCAAGCTGTTGCATCCAACAAAATAAAATGCCACGTAATGCTTTAACGGCTGACTGTCGTAGTTCAGTCTCTCGCCCACGATCATCATCCAATCTTCTTTACAATAAAAAATTTATAGAATGAAATAGTAGTTTAATTTTTGAAATCTTATAATTTTGAAAAAAAGAAAACTTGTGAAACCAACTTATAAGCAAGTGAACATGCCCAACAAGCAAATGCAGCATAAATGCTATCTTTTACATAACCAATTTGCTGATCTTTCGAATATCGCGGAAATAAGCCACTTGTAACACTTTGATAATCCAAAAGTAATTTCTTTACTGCAAATAAAAATGAATCAAAATAAAATAATTGAAAATAGAAAACAATAAAAAACAAATTTTTACCCATAAAAAATATCTTCTTCAAACTTATTCTTCTACTTAATTCAAGAAAAAATAAATTTAGCAGATGGTGGACGCAAAAAAAAAGTAATAGGCAAAAAGAGTTGTTAGGTTATTCCTAACAACTCTTACAATGATGAATATATAATATAACAGTGCATAACCCTTTGACCTAAATGATTATAAAAAGTTGGTAAGTATAAAATCTCATAAAATGTAAACAAATTAGCAATGGGATGTCATTCAACGTTTGTTATTATTAACCGTCTATTAAATCGATTTGAGCAAGCTGAAACTATGATTAAAATAATGAAATGATAAAGGAGTCCAAGTTTAAAGATAAGATGAACCTAAAGATAGAAAATCTCATGTCAGGTCAACAAATTAGCAATGCGAATGTCATTCTAAAAAAATTCTACTATTCCTTTTTTAACAACGACTGTTCTTTGATTATATTCTCTGCATTGTACTTTTTACTACTTTTTATCAACTTTCATTTATTTTATCCATTCCAAATTTATAATGGGGAAGTGGCTCAATGCGTTGTTTCTCTCATATCAAAATGCCAATAATAAAGTTTTACTCTTGGTTTTTCAAAAATCACCATGATACTCCACTTGTACGTTTTTTCACCAAGTGACTCTCTAGTAAAATAATGTCTTCTCGTCATTAACAAGTCAGCGGAACGAGCCTAACCTAAAGTTTTCGACTACCATTTCATCGCCAATAACTGATAATTCCAAATAGTGTTTGCTTCATTCATAAATTTCATTGGATATAAGGCGGTCCTAATGAACCAATAAAACCCTCAAAATTTCACCATATTAACTTGAATAAAAAAAATGAACCGATATAATAAACGCTATCGACTTGTTGAACAGTGGTCCTTTCGAATTTCGAATGAAATAAATGAATCGGAGTGAGATAGGCTTGAGTAAGACGTCGAAGTCTTAAACTGCCTGCATCCCGACTACCTGACACTTTACGATTCGTTGACATCTTCGCCTATTTCGATTTATTATCACCTTAAAATAATTATTTTAATTTTATCTTTAATTATTCGTATTTTAATTAATAAAAATTAATTTAATGATTAAAATTAAAATTTATATTTACAACTAATTTAAAAATAAAATTTAAAATTAAGTTATTATATTTAATTAGAAAAAAAAAGACAATTATAATTAAATAGAAAAATAATTTCCTTAAAAATTTTTCTTCGTAATTTTCCATGGATGTCATCGGATTAATTATTATTTATTCCTTAATTATTAATTATTATTTTTTAATTATTGTTAATTGTTGTTATTAATTATTATTCATTATTTTTATTATTATTTATTTATTATTTATTTATTTTATTTATTTTTAATTATTATTCATTGATTAATTATTATTTCATCTCATCGGATTAATTATTATTTATTATTTTTCATTACTATTTTTTAGAATTTTTTATTTATTTGTACTTTGAGAAAAAAAAAGATCGCGAAACAAATACCTTTAACGACCATTAAAGGCCAATAAAGTAAATATAACTTTAATTGAAATTAAAATACTAGATCTCTATTTGTCAGCTTAGCCTGTAATATGCAGTTTCGGATTGAACAGCTGATCGTATTATATGTAATGGGTAGTTTGTAGTGGTCTTCGCTTTCAGGTATCGTTGTTCGGTTGAGTTCCTTTTTTTATGAAAGACCGATGTTAGGTCGAATTTCAGGTTGCGGCGTTGGACCAAATTATTTCGATATGTTTCATTAGTCAATTAAAGAGTGGATAGAATGGCTCAGTGGTTTGTCGCCCAATTCGGAGCGCCGATGCTGAAGTTCCATTCCCCGCAGGAGTAAATCTATCCAAAACTACGGGTGATGCAGGCGACTCGCCTGTACTTCTATCGCCAAGAGACTCCCTGGCATATTTGTCCAGTGCGACAAACCCCCTGAGCGAATTTAATCATAATGGTGAGGACTGTTAAAAAAGGGAAGTTTCTTAGGCGATCTATTAGAAGGCGAAATTCTGTTGAAGAAGTTTTTGAACGGCAAATGGTTTTGCGGATATCGTCGAAATTTATTTATTTGAAAAGAAAATAAAGAATTAAAATTAGATATAAATAGTAAAGAAAATATGAGAATATTTAAATATTAATTAAAATATTAATATTATTAATTTAATTAATAATAATATTAATATTAATATTAATTAATTAATAAAATACAATATATTATATTTTATATTTTGATTCTAAATTTAACAAATCACTTTTTAAATAATTTTTATAATTATAATTAATATTCCAATCTTTTTTATTTTTGTTGAGATAAAGGTATTTATTTATTTTTTTTCTAAGAATGCTCGCTATTTGGAATAAATAAAACTATATAAATTAAAACTATATAAATTTTGCAGTAGAAGATGAATAGTTATTAGCTTCAGCTGGATTTTTCTCCAGACAAGTTTACTCCTGCGGGGAATCGAACCACAACATCGGCACTTCGAAATGAGAGCAACAATTCACTGAGCCATTCCTCTCCTATTGGCATATTATAGGATTTATTTTTCTGTGGCGTTTAAAAAGAAAAATATTTTCATAATATTGGATAACTATTCGCTTGCTATTATTCAATTTCGAGTGGAACAGATAATGGAATGAATCCACTGAGAAGAACCAGTTTATATATAAACATTACTGCAAGCTTATATTTCGAACTCCATGATTTAGGGGGATTTTAACGATATGTTGGGATTTTTTGTATTGAATAAATTATTTATTTTCGTTACATTTATGACATTTATTTCTCAAATAAATTGGTTAAATTGATTATACAGTGCAAAATTGTAGTTTTGGATAACGAAGAATTGTGGTGGATGCGCTTGCACTAACCAGTCAGCGAAGATGGTATTTACTATTAATGCAGATGAATGCAATCATGGAGATTTTATCCGCTCGGTGAACCCTCAGTAAAATGTGTCTTAGTAATGAGTGATCAAAGTTAGATAACTTCTTAATATCTTCCACTCTTATCGGCCATATGTCTCGCAGTCATATAGCAAGATCGAGCGAATTGCAGCTATCTGGAATGATCTCTTTCGTTTTTATAATGATTTTTGACGACGACGTTACTATAAAGATTTCGTCAATCGGAAGAAAAAAAATATTTTTAGCGACCATACCAAACAATAATATCAGTTTAATAATGATAAATAAAATAAAATTGTATGCAGTTGATTTAAACGAATGTTTATTTAAAGAGAATTCTTGGTTGGAAGTAGTGATTGATTGCTATTGCTTGGACTTAGAATAGATATATCATCAAAAATGAAAGATGGATGGCTTCTGGGATTCTCACCTAACTCTTTGGCTCTTTGCAATGGGATCCTAGTAATATTCATTGCAAGCAATGAACAATTACAATAAGAATTTCGCTAACTTAATTAATTAGCTCTTCAAAAATATAAGCAAAAATTTATAATTCAGCATAATTTTTGTCTTGAAAAATTTTTTTTATAGTTTCAAAGATAAATTATTTTAAGCTTTTTAAATAAAATCGAAAAATTTTATTATATTTCAACCGGTTTATGTAATTAAAGTAGTTACTTCTTTTAAAATCATTCTTCGATTCAATGAATTTGTTACATTTTTTTTTTCAAAAAAAATTGTTTTAATTTCGTGGAAAAAAATCTTTTTTTTTTGTGATTTTTTTTTATAAAATTTGTAAAATTTGTTAGTTTTTTCAAATGTAAGCAAAGATTTGCCAGTTAGCCAGTTAGTTTTGAAAATAAATAATTTTCGACTAAAATTTTTACATTAGAGAATTTCGCAAATCGAAAAATTTTATTTAAAATCGCATAAGCCATTCAAGCCATATCGTTCCAATAGCGATTTCTATTTTCGCCATATCGTTTGTCGTTCTTCGAAATATTTCTTTTGGTATTTCGAATAAATTTTTCACAAAATAAGAAAAAAATTTTATGAAAATAGTTTAATTTTATCGTAATTTTTGGCACTTCTTCAAGCTGCTTTTTATTATTATTATTATATTATTATTTTTTATTATTATATTATATATTATATTTTTATTATATTACATTATTTATTATAATATAAAATTATATAATATAATTTATATTATAAAAGAGAAAAAATCATATTGTGATCGGAACAAATTTCACTAGCAGCATAAACTGTTCACGAATTGTAGGAATATTTGGTATTAATGGGCAATTCAAAGGATGAACCAAATAAAAACTAAACAACTGATTTGAATATCGAAAATTAAATTTATTTAAATTACATATGCATATTATTATGGATAATTTTAGGATTATTTATGCTAACTGATCTACTGATATGATTTATCAGTTCGATAGTCTCGTCTTAGAATTTTTTCGCATGTTGGAGAGTAATAAAAAAAATAAAACAAAATTTGATGCCATAATTGATTTGCATTAAATTTGCAAAAATTAATTTCTTGAATTTTTTTTTGGAAAAATTTTTAATTATACTTTTGTTATTTATAATTTTCCTTTGTAAATAGTTTTATAGTTTTTTTTTATTTGAAGTGAATAAAAAAAATTGATTCAAACGTATAATTTTTTTCATTATTTTATGTAAACGATTTGATCAAAAAAATAATAATTTTTTTTATTTAATTAGCTGCGAAAAATTATGAAATTTTAATAATGAAAAATTATTCTCTTTGAATATTTTTTCCATAAAACATATGTTTTCTCTTTTTTTTTTTTAAATCGACTTATACAATAATTTTGCTATTTTAAATTTTTGCTTATTATAGTGAATTTTTAAAATTTCTTTCTACTTTTTGTTTATTTGAATAATTTTTTTTTTTCTGCAATTTTTGAAATTTTTGAAACGAATTTTCTTAGGATTAAAGTTTGAAAAAAAATTATATTAGTGATGAATAAAGCCTATAAGAAAAAAAAAGTGAAAATTGTGAAAATTTTAAGTTTTCGAAAATTTAAAAAATTTTATTTATAAATAAATTTATGTATGAAATTATGGAAAAAATTAACGAAAAAAAAATTCGCTATCACTTGATTACCAGTTTTTCTTTGTCTTTTTTTTTTAAGATTCCTCACCATTATCGGTTAAACTCGCTCCGCTAGCCGGCTTGTCGCACTGGACAAATATCCCAGGGAGTCCCTTAGCGATGGAAATAGAGTTGAGTCGCTAGCATCACTCGGATTTTTGGACAGGTTTACTCTTGCGAGGAATAGATCCTTAGCATCGGCACTCCGAATTGAGCAACAACTCACTGAACCGTTCTATTTCCAAATCACTGATTACCAGTAGTAAATAAAAAAATAATGTACGGTAGAGAGACGTTGATAAACTAGTAGATTTATTTGTTTTGTTTTTTTTCGTTGTATCGAATTTAGCACTTCGAAAGAAGATGGCCTATTTCTTAGATTCATTGAAACATCAATAGTTCATCTGAGGAATTTCTCTATATTTTATTTTCTATAAAATTTTCGATTTTATTTTTATTTATTTATTATTTTTATTTATTTTTTATAGCTCTAATTTATCTTTTTAATAATAATATTATAATTTAATATTATAATAATATTTGCCATATTTATAATGTTTTTTAATTTTTTGCATTTTATTACTTTTTAATTGTGTGACATAAGTGTGACATTGTGACATAAAATTTGTGACATAATTGTGTATATCATATTTGTGATTAATATATGTGACATTAAAAATATATTAATATTTTAGTTAAATTTATATTATATATATATATATTAAATGCTATTATATAAAATTATATTCTAAATTCTATTCGAGAGAAAGTCTGCCAGTAAAAAATCCACGTGGTTCTACGAATCATAACTGTACTTCTAAGATGAAATGATTCCTTAACAAAAGCTTTTTTACCATAATAACCCATAAATTCCTGAATAAGTTAGCTTAACTAGAAAAAATATTTGCCTATTTTTGTCTATTTTTTATGAAATACCAAAATAAATAATAA